ATATCTTTACCCATTTAATAAGTATTTTGCAATATGCCAGTGCAGCCCATTCGAAACAATGTCAACTTCTGCACTAACTTCACCTGCAATTGGGATTGGTAAATCTTTTTCAACATACCATCAAATCTTTGAGGACAGAGAACAACTCGCATATACTTGTTTGTACGCCAAAAACTGAATAACGCTCCCTTTCCGGTATGGTTTCTTGCATGATCTGAGTGATGGACGGATCAGCTACCCATAATCCTGAAATTTATGAAATAGCCGTCTATTTTGGGTAATATTGTGTTAGCTGCTTACCAAATCGAGCTAGAGTAATTCCAAGGAAGAAGACTATTATTGATGGGCTGAGTTCCGAAAAGGGGATAGAAGGAGAATCCTCGACTGTGTTCAAATCACCCATGACTTTGGACTTCACGCCATCCACCCATTTCTAAGGCACATACACACTTATATAAGAAATGCACTGCATAGAGAGAAAAACTGGTACCGTAGCAGTAAGTGTGGAGAAGTATCCGGTAGCATTAAATGGATTTCCAGGTAGATTGATTGAGACTGTACAGAAGTTTAAGAAAAGGTTTTGAATCTGAAATGCAAAGGCAGACTCCCTGGGTAGGACTGAAGGAAGGGCCCTCTTACCAGCAGTCCAATTAAACCTGTCCAAAGGAGACCTAGCGAACGCTCTAAAGCAGTATAGGAAACCGCTCCGAGTAATCCTAGGAGAGATCCCATCGAACGGAAAACACCGAGGCTGGATGCGGACATCCCTTGCGAAGCACCGTAAGATAAGGCTAACTGTAGAAGTAAGCTGAGCTAGAACCTTCACTTTTGCAGAAAAGAATATTACGTTATCAAATCCAAGTACTGTCATGTACAGCAGAGCCAAGCCGAAAGCAGCCCGGAATGCACTTTGTCGAAAGTAGGCAGAATACGCCGCAACAGGTGAAAGAGTACCATGAGTGGTCATGTCTTTGGTTGTTGAGTCTAAACTTCAATCAAGTTCATAAATACTGCAATTATTCCAAAGAATACTAACCGTTTCTGGATCTATGTGAAAGTGCCGGAATGCGCCGGTAGATCCACAAAAGCAGAGAACTCTCGATACTCCACGAGATCATATTCCAAGCGATGATCACAATGCAACACCACGCTTTTGTCATCGAGTCAAGCATGATTCCAGCAATAATTGGACTCAACAAAGCGGATGCCTGGTCAATCACAGTCATTGCAGCATTTTGAGCTTGAAATTGGAAAATCAGTTGGCAAATGCATAGCAAAAAGACTTCTTACTAGATAAACGCGCTCCCTTCGTT